TCACTTCTAACCAATCACTTCTGATCAAGGTCCCAGGACCGAAACGTTTTCTAATAAATATGTTATAGTGTTTGCTTACGTGTCTTTCTAAACCAACTTGTCGGTATTTATTACCAAGGTTTATACCAGTGTTGAGTGTGGACGTGAGTGGGGTTACTGATACTGCAGCGAATGTTATTGTTGAGTATGACTCAAGAAATCGTAATGACATGATTACAAACAAACCATACCATGGGTGGGGTTAGAACCCGCGATCGATGAGTCTCAAAACTCCAGACCGTCGAGTTAGCCACTGGACCAACTAGCCACAACCGCACGTGAGTGTACATGGTTATTATATATTCAATGCTTCATTACAAAGTGTTGTATTGCTTAACAATTCGCAAACAGGCGAAATTATTTACAAACATTGTCTCTACGTCCACAGCAGGACTCGAACCTGCTAACTCTGTATCAGAGTCCACAGTACTTTACCACTGAGCTAGACCCGCGATAAGGAATATACGAATATACGTTCCTCTCTCATGTTTGTAATGAATATCCTCTGTATATATTGAGTTAATTTGGGTGCATATATTTAATTTTTGAGGTGTTGAGGTGTATATGTTTTGTTTATGGATAATATCTTCGAGGTTTTAGGTACGTTTGAACTACTTATAAATTTTGTATACAAAGTCTTAAATAAAATAAAAACCTGTTTATTAACTGAACTTTAACAATATTGTTATATAACCTTCACTTACCTGGTAAAGTTATTATTGATGTAGTTTATAACTTACAGGTGTATATTAATTTACCTGATACAGGTGTAGATGTGTATATGTATGAAATATCTACATTATGTATACTTGTGACTATAGTGTTTATATAATACCCGTGTTTGTTTATATTAATAACTTAAATTACTAAGGTATTCAGGATACGCTTCTGGAATAATGTTTAATTATTGTTTTGATTGTGTGTTCAGGCTGGTGGAAGTTGCCAGACTTTTCCCTTGTGTGGTGGTGGGGGGGGGGAGTGTCAGCACCTTTGTTGTGTAGTACCTTTGTTGTGTAGCGCCTTTGTTGTGTAGCGCCTTTGTTGTGTAGTACCTTTGTTGTGTAGCACCTCTGTTGTGTAGCACCTTTGTTGTGTAGCACCTTTGTTATGTAGCACCTTTGTGTAGCACTGTTGTGTAGCACCTTTGTTGTGTAGCACCTTTGTTGTGTAGCACCTTTGTTGTGTAGCACCTTTGTTGTGTAGCACCTCTGTTGTGTAGCACATTTGTTATGTAGCACCTTTGTGTAGCACTGTTGTGTAGCACCTTTGTTGTGTAGCACCTTTGTTGTGTAGCACTGTTGTGTAGCACCTTTGTTGTGTAGCACTGTTGTTGTAGACAGCCTGTACTGTCTGCACAGACAGCCTATGCTGTCTGCCAGCTCAGTTCACATTTTGCGCCACTAAAGTGCTGCCCTATGGGCCTGTCCAGGTCTGTGGGAAGCTGGTCCCACACTCACTCACACAGCGGCCTAGCAAGAAGACACAAGGCCTACTAGTAGCTCTCTCTCGTGGGATGGCCCTCCCGGGCCATGGGCATAACTCACAAGCCTGTGTACCCACCACGACTTAACAATAAAGTAAGAAGCCTCCGAAGATGTCTATCATTAACCACCTGCTTTCAGCTCTACCAAATAATTTCGATATAATTGGTGGGAAGCAGTGGTCGCAGCAGTTGTTTGCCTGGAGAGAGAGGAAGGGATGAAGTCATCTTCACTTCATCACCCCATGCAAGAAGCATCCTTCTCTCAACGAGTTATCCTGATGTTGTGTGTGCATGTTTCAGCATCCAGACACAGGTACAAGCAGGATCCAGCCGAAATTTACCGAAATTTACAGCGTCCCACGCTGTTTCTCAAGTCACGTGTTCAGCATCACTTGTATGTTGCTGTTGTTGTTCAGCTCAGCACAGCTGTTTCAGCAAGCCAGAGGTGAGTTTTGTGGTGATTTCTGCGTCCAGTGTGCGTTTCGCAGTGTTGTGGGTTTGAGAGGAGGAAGTGGCCAGATCCTTCCTCGCCATACACTCACCCATGCTCCTTGCCACCACTCTACAATACACTCACCACTACTCACTCCCTCTGCCGTGTTTTATGCTGTTTTCCGTGGGAATTCATTGCCAGAGCTGTGTATCCGAGTGCCCGAGGCCACTCGAAACTACGTGGATCAGCATGCCACGTAGATCAGCAAGCCACATGGATCAGCAAGCCACATGGATCAGCAAGCCATGCGGATCAGCATGCCACGTAGATCACGACACCACGTGGATCCCGACGCCACGTGGGGTGTGGGCGATGTCACGTGGATCTACAAGCCACGTGGGTTACCAAGCCAGATGTCCCAGGCCACATGCTGTGGTCTGCTGCCCGCATCACATAGACATCACCGACGATGCTGCCTGACTTCATGATGTCACGATGTCTACCTGACGTCACCTCGAGATGTCTGCTGACGCCAGTGCTGCTGATGTCACCTCGCAACATCACGCCTGACATCACACATGTCACATCGAGTGTTTCTAGTAATTATTTCAGTATTGTCAAGAAGATTGAGAGAAGATATGTCGTGTGTTAATTCCTCTCAGTCAGTGTTCTCACATGTTAGTGTATGGCTTAGCGTCAGTTTTGTGCACAGAAAAGCATCATTTGCAAGTTTAAGCCATGTTGTACCACATGTACTGCGGGTGTGTGTAGTTTCCGTGTGTCCAGTGAGGTCTGCGGCCAGACCTGAGTAGCACCACTGTGCTAAGTCACCTGGTGTGACCAGTGCGTTTGACAGCTGATATCAGTCAGCTCTGATCCCCAGCCCACTTGTACAGAAAGCTCTTATACTCGTCGCTCGTGATGTTCTGCAGAATCGTACCTGCTATGATTCCCATCGAGATTTGTTTCACTTCACCTTCAGAATGCAGTTATATGTAGACAAACAAGTCTGGGGATGCTTAGACTAACCTCTGCTATAACTCCAACTGCCGAGAGAATGGCACTCGTCAAGCCACAGTTAGCCCTGTCAGCAGGCACTGTGTCAGCCTCGTGTCACAAGCTTCAGTGAGCAGCCTGCACGAAGATGTCACTTTGACTGCAGTCTGGTGTATGATGTTACGACTCCCAGATGTTTTGCCCAGTCGTCTCTGCCACGACTTGCTCCACAACTCACTCCACGCTCGCCGGCAGTGACAGCCCAGCGACAGTACCAGTCGAGAAGTGTCCTCCTGAGTTGCTTGCCAGAAGTCCTGCCCAGTTGCCGAGTTTTGCGACGCCTTACTCGAGGGCACCAGCAGGTTGTGCCCCAGGTTGAGTGAAAACCTGCAGCTACTCCTACGATGACTCGCCATTCCAGAGGAGACTGTAACCTGTTATGTCACAGCTCAGCCGCAGCGATGTCTCCTGTGTTGCAGTATCTGTCCAGAAGCAGGAAGGCGTGCAGTGATGCCCTTCGGCACTCACTGCCTATGACCACGATGTTTAACACACCCACATTTTTTTTTCTTCCCTCGCTGTAGGAAGTTTTTTTTTTCCATGTCCTTATGTATATACATGTTTTATTTTGTGTTCTGTGCCCTGTTCCTACGAGAGACCGATATTTTTTTTACCACCAGTATTGTCGCGTCGGGACGACCCGCGGTAGGTGGCCGAGCATATGTAGACAGCCTGTACTGTCTGCACAGACAGCCTATGCTGTCTGCCAGTTCAGTTCATATTTCGCGCCACTAAAGTGCTGCCCTCTGGGCCTGTCCAGGTCTGTGGGAAGCTGGTCCCACACTCACACAGCGGCCTAGCAGGAAGACACAAGGCCTACTAGCTCTCTCCTCTCGTGGGATGGCCCTCCTGGGCCATAAATAAATAAATAAAGTAAAGGAGCCTCCGAAGACGTCTATCATTCACACACCCGCTTTCAGTTCACTAAATAATCTCATTAAACATTGTGTAGCACCTTTGTTGTGTAGCACAGTTGTGTAGCACCTATGTTGTGTAGCACTGTTGTGTAGCACCTTTGTTGTGTAGCACCTTTGTGTAGTACTGTTGTGTAGCACCTTTGTTGTGTAGCACCTTTGTTGTGTATCACCTTTGTTGTGAGGTGTAATAGCGCCATTGTGTATTGTATGTATTTAATGGACTGGAGTTGTACCAATGAAGATTCTTATTCACAACCGCTATTATTATACCATATTTCTATACGTTCATACCTATATATATTTTTTGTACATAGTTTTAAATAAAATATAGAAAAAATATTACGTTACTATGACGTTCATTGGGAAGTACAAAACCTGTAAGAGTTGTGCAGCTCCAGAAGTATAAGATAAAATTGTTGTTTGGATCAAGAGCCCTCCAGCATCAAGGCCCCTCAGTTGAAGGACATATGCATCATAGACAATCAAGTGAAGAAAGACGTATAGAACCTTTGTAGGAGCTGAGTTTTGCTGTGCTCAGCTTTTTTCGGGTCGAGATTTTACCAAATTACGTTTTTACCAAGTCATAACATTATACAAAGAGTAACAAAGTCCCAAATAAAATATGATCTCACTATTGATGGTGTTATGCCGTATGGATCCAATTATCATTATTTTATTCGTATTACATTTTAACTATCTTCTGTTTTGTAGAACTCACTGAGGTATTTACAAAATCATGATCGTTTAGCCTCAACACATTTAACTCAGTGGTATAGCTCCAGGCTTCCAGCCTGAAAAAAAAAAAAACCTGAGTTTGATAATGGACAGGAACGGACGCAAACGTCGTTGATATTGGTCAAGAACGGACGCAAACGTCGTTGAACTTTGTTCTCCAAATTGCGGTTGTTCTTTGTGATTTGTATCAGCCAGAGATTTATTACTTTTACTCATCAATGTCATGCAACACCGGGAAAATGGAAGGTAATTCATTTTGATATGAGAAAGAGGAAGGTAGGCTCCAGTTCCTTCTCCCAAGAATCCTTCACCAACATCAGTGTACCAGTATACTTACAATACGTCTTTGTATGATTCCCACCATGATGTCGTGACCTTGTTCCTTATCCACTTCCTTCTGTTTTTCAAGCAGCGTCAGACTGTGATCTTTCTCGTAGGCATCATAAACACTGCTGAAGCTGACGGTCTGCGAGAAGGAAGTCCCGGGAGGTTGGTCAGTTTGCACCTCCGTGTTCTGTCACAAGTACAAAAATCACAGACATGTACATAGTAAGCAACACTACCACTGAAGATTTAGACACACATGCAACGTCTGGGTAGTTTATTATAGACGTTTCGCCATCAGTGGCTTTATCAATATAAATTCTAGGACATAATTTGAAGACAGAACTACATGCAAAAGATGAGATGATCAATCCCTTGGAGTTGGTGTGAAGAGCATTGGTCGTGTAGATTCCAGAATCTACACGACTACGGTATTGTATATCATTCTTGTACAATAATACCAGTGTAACAGGGAGACAGAATGTAAACTGGATGTTTTAAGAGCTGGTCGTGAAATGTGAGGAATGAATAGATTAAGGAAAACGAATTAAGAAGCTAATTTTTGCTATAATGTAAATGGTCCAGAAAACCGACTGGTTGAAGAATGAGACACTTGAGTAATGTTTGGGAATCTTTATGTGGAAACTTTTCGCCAGCAGTGGTTTCTTCAGTCCAGCACAGATAAGAACGGTGAGAGATAAGGAGTTTGAGGCCGTCAGTCTTTCAGGCTGGAGTCGATGTGTTCAGTCCATCAATCTTGAGAGAAAAAAAAATCTACTCCAGGCTGAGGGACTGATTTACCTCAAACTCTTCATCTTACACCGTTCTTCTCTGTACTGGACTGAAGAAGCCACTGGCTGAGACACTTGTGCATCAAATGATGCATAAGTGTCTCGTTTTTTGCTACTTTTATCAAACTAACCAAGTAAAACCATGGATAAATTAAGACTCAGATGCACATTGTAAACAACTCTGTTTTCGTACAGAAATGTAATAAATTCTTGTCCTGGTGACCCGTGGCCTAGTGACTAAAGCTCTCGCTTCACACGGCGAGGGTTTGGGTTCGATTCAATGCGAGGGAAGAAGCATTGGGCGTGTTTCTTTACATCGGTTGTCCATGTTCACCCATTAGTATAATGGGTACCTGGGTGTTAGTCTACTGGTGTGGGTCGCATCCTGGGACAAAACTGACCTAATTTCTCAGAAATGTCATTGACGTCAGCTAGGCCTGTTTACCTTGTACATAAGAACATAAGAAAGAAGGAACACAGCAACAGGCCTACTGGTCCATGCGGAGCAGGTCCATGTACCCCCCCCCCCCGATAAGACCAATGACCAACCCCCTCCGGATTAGCCCAATGACCCACCCAGTCTGGTCACCTCCACTTAAGGATGGAGAACTGCACCAGACCCAGCAGCACAAGCTAGTCAGGTTCAACTCACACCCACCCACACCCACTCATATATTTATCTAACCTATTTTTAAAACTACACAACGTTTTAGCCTCTGTAACTGTACTTGGGAGTTTGTTCCATTCATCCACAACTCTATTACCAAACCAGTGCTTTCCTATATCTTTCCTGAATCTGAATTTTTCTAACTTGAAACCATTGCTGCGAGTCCTGTCTTGGCTGGAAATTTTCAGCACGCTATTTACATCCCTTTTATTTATTCCTGTTTTCCATTTATACACCTCGATCATATTCCCCCTAATTCTACGCCTTTCGGGAGAGTCCAGATTCAGGCCCTCAGTCTATCCTCATAGGGAAGATTTCTGATACATGGGATCATCTTTGTCATCCTCCTCTGTACGTTTTACAGAGCATTTATATCCATTCTGTAATACGGTGACCAGAACTGAGCAGCATAGTCTAAATGAGGCCTAACCAAGGGTATATAGAGTTGAACAACCTGAGGACTTCTATTATTTATACTTCTAGATATGAAGCCAAGAATTCTGTTAGCTTTATTGCGAACACTAATACACTAATGTCCAGAACTCCTAAATCCTTTTCGCAATCAGTAGCATTAAGATCTGCATTATTTAGTTTATATGTGGCATGGTTATTTAACTGTCCAACATTTAGAACTTTGCATTTGTCAATATAAAGTGCATCTGCCACTTCTCCGACCATTGCATCAGTCTATTCAAATCATCCTAGAGTGCTCTAGTGTCCTCATTAGAATGAATTGGACGGTCTATTTTGGTGTCATCAGCAAATTTGCTTATGTCTCTATTTATTCCCTAATCTATGTCGTTTATGTAAATTGTGAACAACAACGGGCCCAACACTGACCCCTGAGGAACACCGCTTGTGACGTGCCCCCATTCTGATTTCTCCCTATTTATGCAAACTCTCTGCTGTCTATTTGTCAGCCATGCCTCTACCCAGGAAAAAAATTCTCCTCCTATTCCGTGTTCCTTAAGTTTCCTCAGTTGCCTCTGGTGTGGAACTATCGAAAGCCTTACTTAAGTCCATATACACAATATCACATTCATTAACATGATCTACCTCCTCAAACACCTTAGTGAAAAAAGTTAGTAAATTCGTAAGACAGGAACGCCCCTTTGTAAAACCGTGTTGAGATTCATTAATCAATCTGTGCCTGTCAAGATGACTACGAATTGCTTCGGCAATTATTGATTCCATAAATTTTCGCACTATGGAGGTAAGGCTTATTGGTCTATAGTTGGAAGCCAAGGACCTGTCACCTGCCTTGTAAATAGGTATTACATTTGCCATTTTCCACTTATCAGGCACTATGCCAGTTTGTAGTGATATGTTAAAAAGATTAGCCAAAGGTATGCTAAGTTCCTCTTTACATTCCTTTAACACTCTTGCAAACAGTTCATCAGGACCTGGGAATTTGTTAGGTTTAAGTTTCTCTGTTTGTCTGAGGACCATGTCACTAGTTACCGCAATTGTACATAGTTTATTATCATCCTGTTCTACATAATCTATTACTTCAGGAATATCGCTAGTATTTTCCTGGGTGAAAACTGAGAGGAAGTAGGTATTGAGAATTTTACACATATCCTTATCACTGTCAGTGATCTGACCAGAGTTACTCTTAAGTGAGTCAATCTTGTCCCTAATCTTACTTCTGTATACCTGAAAGAACCCTTTTTGGTTAGTCTTTGAATCCCTTGCGACCTTAGCCTCATAATCTCTTTTAGCTTTTCTTATTCCTTTCTTTATTTCTCTCTTTAATTGAATATACTGATTTCTTAACTGCCCATCCCCTCTTTTGATACGCCTATATATGCCTCTCTTTTGACCAACGAGATGTTTTAATCTTTTGTTCATCCATTTGAGATCATTTTTGTTAGATCTAATTTCCCTACTCGGAACAAAAGTTGTCTGAGCAGCTAGAACTATGCTCTGAAAAACGTCATATTGGCAACCAAGATCACCTACCTGACCCATAGTCAGGACATCCCAATTTAGCCCACCCAGGTAATTTTTCAGTCCCATGAAGTCGGCCAAGCGAAAATCTGGGACAGAGATTTGATTGCAGTTATCTGGGTAATTCCATGATATATAGAAACTAAGTGATTTGTGGTCACTTTCCCCAGGCTCACCATTAACCTCAAGATTATTAATTAGTGAATCTTTGTTGGCAAGAACCAAGTCAAGCAGATTGTTTCCTCTAGTTGATTCTGTCACAACCTGTTCTAAAAAACAATCCTGAACCGTATCAAGAAAGTCACTAGACTCAAGATTTCCTGTCATATTGTTCCAATCAATTTGTCTAAAGTTAAAATCTCCCATTTTCACAACATTTTTATATCTAGATGCCTTATGAATTTCGTCCCATAACAGCTTACTGCACTCCCTATCAAGGTTTGGGGGCCTATAAATCACACCCAAAATTAATTTGTCACGACCCTCGAGAAACTGTAGCCAGATTCTGTGTTCGATGTTTCTAATCTTATATCATGTCTAAGACAATTTAAATTTTCTCTGACATTCATCGCCACTCCACCACCCTTCCTGTTGACCCTATCAGTGTGGAATAGTTTATAATCCTGTATGTTGCATTCAGAAGGCATTTCTCTATCTTTCAGGTTGAACCAGGTCTTGTTATACCAATAATATCTATTACCTAGACTTTCAAGTAATCTTAGCTCATCTATCTTATTTTTTAGACTCCTACTATTTGTATAGTAAACCTTAAGGGAGCTAGTCACTCGTTGCCCTCTGCTACCTCTCTTTGTTTGTTGATCAATTGATTTGCCATTACTAGCAACTTTATTTTGAATATTGTCTTTTAAACATATCCCTGAGGTATCCTAGTAATAACTGCTGTTTTTAACCCTAATGCTGCAGCCTGATTGTTTCCCACAAACACCCATACCTCTATAATCTTATCAGTTTAAATTCTTAGACAAGTCATCAATTATCCTCTCAATCGAATTGGCTAATGCTACCACTGCATCCCCAGAGAGATGAACACCATCCCTTGCATACATATTAAGTTTGCCAAAGAATAGGTCCCAGTTATCAATGAATGGGATTGCAAATTCCTTGCAGTACCTGTCTAGCCAGCAATTTATACCAATTGCCCTAGACATCCATTCATTGCCCACTCCCTTTCTAGGCAAGATGCTACATATGACCGGGATGCCTCCCTTAGACCTAACTGCTTCTATGGCAGACCTGTACTTATCTAGCAGCTCCTGTCTCCTGCCCTTCCCAAAGTCATTGCCCCAAGCACTAAGACAGATAATGGGCTTGTTTCAATTACCTGACATAATATTATCCAACCTGCTGACTATGTTACCAACACAAACACATATTCTTTGTCTGACCTTTCTGTCTCTGTTACAAAAAGCACATTTCATATATCTTACCTGAGAATCTCCTACTATTAAAATATTCTTACCTTGATTAGCAGGGGAATCAGTGGTACCTTCAACCTCACTAACCACTGAAGTGCAATCGTCCTGGAGAACAGAGAATCGATTTCCTACCTTCACAATAGTCTCTGATAACCCTTCTTAGCTTCCTGAACTGTGTACCACTTGCCACTTAAAGCAGCTGCCACTATCACTGCTAGTGACCATTTCCTCCTTACCAGCTAAATCCTTCTCCCACTCGCTCCCAAACTCATCTAGGCGAAGCTTCAGCCTCCTATTTTCCTCCTGAAGAAGTAGAACCTCATTCTTCAACACTTAAACCTGAGAT